CAAAATTTAAAAAACGTGAACATCACACAGATTAATATGTACCCCTAAGTCTCTGGAACGGAATACGTGCACCAGTGAATCTACAACTACACGATTTATATTTTAAAAATAATTAAATTCACTTAGCATTCAAAACTTGCGAATTTTGAAAAAAACAAATTTGCTGATTAAATACGGACAACCGTTTAACCGAAGTAAAACGGGTTTTTCCCTTGTTATGAATGTCTGCCTAGTTCAGTTCAGCCACAATCCGCTACAGTTCGCCTTTATTATCAGTTCGAAATGGGGTGGTTCCATAATACCCACAGTGTTCCATAATACCACCTTTTCCTCTCTTATTTTTAGATGCCAGGAGTAACATGTTCTGTTGCAAATTGTGATAACAACTATTATAAAACAAAGTCATTAGACAGGAAAGTCAGTTATTTTAGATTTCCGAAAGATTCGATAATAAGAAGAAAATGGATCCATAACTGTAAAAGAAAAGACAAATTTAATCTTGATTCTTGTCATGTTTGCTCTGATCATTTCACAGAAAATGATTTTGAGAGAAATTTAAAAGCTGAATTATTAGGTTTATTGGCAAGACCTAAACTAAAGAAAACTTCACTACCAACAGTAAATTTAAAAAACATAGAAAATAAAAAATATTAAGCAGTCAAATGAAAGAAAGAATCGTGTATTAAAAAGAAATAGAAAAAACCTGATAGAAAAACTTAGATGTAAATAAACAGAATAAAGGAGAAGAATCTCTTAACAAATGTAACAATTTAAAACTTTAGATGATCTTAATTTTAAATTAAAGCATGAAAATTCTATTTTAAATATGAAGATTAAACATATTGAGATAAGAATGCAAGCAATCCAAAAAAATTGAAATTTTGGAAAAGTAAAACTGTCATCATTCAAAAAGAACATGAAAAATGAAAAAAATNGAAGGGATTTGGCCTGTACCGTCCGCGGGCCGCATAAACATTGATAGGGGGCCGTATGTGGCCCGCGGGCCGCAGGTTGTGCACCCCTGGTAATAAAAAAGAATAGTATATTTTTGCTAACTTCTGAAATGTAACCCTATGTTTTGCATTAGTCCTTTGCTTTGTATAGCACAGATTTGCATAATATGGCAATTATTTGGAATGTAAGTTCTGTGTTATATGAGGGTTACCTTTTTTGCACAAAGTTTTTTACATGGCATTCTTTGGAACATACTCACCACACAAAAAGAGGAATAAATGTAATTAAATGTATGAAAAAACTTTATCAGGTAAAATAAATGTTACATCATAATGATATAGAATTGAAAAATTTGTCATTATCATAAATTGTAGACAAACAACATTAAATTAAATTAAGTAAAAACTTTTCTTATCAAATCCATTCTTTCTTTATTGAAGAATTTCCTTAAGCTAACATTGTATTGAATATAATATAAAATTTGAATAATTAAAAATTTACATTTTAAATAAAAGGTTTGTAATTGTTTAAATTCTATATTCTATTCGTTTTAGTATTCATTGTTGTTAAATTTATCAGTTGAACAAAATGTTATTTGACAAATTTTTTTATTAAATTAAATTATTAAATAATTTTTAAAATTATACAAATTGTCAAACATCATTACAATTGTAATAAATAAAAATAATTGAAATATTAAACATTCTATATTTCGTTCATTTAATATTAGCCTAAAAATGTTCTTCAATAAAAAACAAAACTACTTGCTAGTTTTCAAATATTTATTTCATTTTAACATTGTTTTGTTCATTATATACAATTTATTTACTACAGGCTTTAAAATGCTAATTTCATGATATTTTAAAAAATATATATTAATTTATTACATCTAAAATTTATTATATCACTCACTAAAGAATAGTTTGAGAAGTGAACTAAAACTAAATTTATATATTTCAATTACATGAAAATTTTTTCTACATTTTTTTATACATACAATTTAACATCATCACTTTCAGATGCTTTCTTAACATAGCAAATTACTAATTCTTTTTAAAAGTAACTCAAAATATGTTATAATTACTTTTAAATAACAATATTCATCAATTCATTACTATATATTGCATGACGTTTATCAAAATCCAAGATGATTGTGATAATTCATGACACTTGCCATGGAAATTTGCAGATGTTCCTGAATAATTTTTATATATGACAGTGGATTTTGCTTTACCATTAAGTAAACAGTTTCCATATTGGGATATTAA